GTAATATAGTGCATTGTTCACTTGACATATTGTTAGCACCATTTATATATATGTGTGTTTAAACAAAGAACAATTGTCTTGTTTTTCCTCAATCCGGTAATATAGTGCATTGTTCACTTGACATATTGTTAGCACCATTTATATATATGTGTGTTTAAACAAAGAACAATTGTTTTGTTTTTCCTCAATTCGGTAATATAGTACATTGTTCACTTGACATATTGTTAGCACCATTTATATATATGTGTGTTTAAACAAAGAACAATTGTCTTGTTTTTCCTCAATTCGGTAATATAGTACATTGTTCACTTGACATATTGTTAGCAACATTTATATATATGTGTGTTTAAACAAAGAACAATTGTCTTGTTTTTCCTCAATTCGGTAATATAGTACTTTGTTCACTTGACATATTGTTAGCAACATTGACAGATTTCCTTATCAATTAAAGTGTACATTTTTGGAAGAAAGCCTATTGATTACCACCCCAGCATCACTGAATAATTTCCTGAAACCGCCGTGCTACATCATATGGTAAATCAGTAGAACAGACCGAGCATCGTGTTTCTTTTTCTAACAAAAGGCACAACATATGGACTAGAGAATCACAAGTCCGTAAACTTCTAACATAACTTTTGTACTTGATAATTCACCTGTTAGACCCCGATTTTTTATGCTAATAAATAACAGGAAAGCTCAATTTATTTGCTAACTATTTCTAAAAAGATAAAACGAATATGAGTGGTTCTGTAAACAACAGATAATTAGTGTTTGAAAGAAGAAAAAAACATGAAACACGTATATTTTTAAATTGTTTTAGTCTAATTTGTTCTATGTCGGGTATTCACACAGGGTATTCACACAAAGCTACACAAGGGTTGTCTGCACTAGTTTACTCTAGTTTTGATCTGATAAACTATGGGGAAAGCAACTAGTCAACAGAACTTTCTTCAAAACGTTTGACCCCCCCCCCCTCCAGAAGCACAGCGGTATGTCTGCGGACTTACAACCCTAGAAACTGGGTTTAGATACCCGATGTGGGCAGAGCTCAGATAGCCCATTGTATAGCTTTGTGCTTAATTTCAAACAAACAAACATTTAGACTGCTATAATCGAATAGTGAGATTTGACTGTCACTCTTACAGCTCAGCTCAATCACAACCCCAAATGTGAAGCGTGATTTGTTTTTAGTGGCAATAGGACTCGAGCCATGGATCCTCGGACCTACAGCCCTGCAGATTAACCATTCAATCATAGCCGACCCTAAAATGTTAGTAAACATCCCCATATACAATAAAGTCGTGTTCAACAACCGCAGTAAAGGTTTATATACTCGTTTCTTAATATGATAATAGATGAAATGACAAAATATCCAGTTTCGTCTGTTTATGTATAGATGTCGCGTCGATATCATTCGGATTTATTCGTTTTCAATATAATCACAATAAAAAAAATATGCTAAGTATGCTTAATATTAGATACCCTTCTTTAGAATTGATATAAGTGACATAATTTAAATTAAAATAAGTTATATCATTTATCTGGGGCTCTTTAATTTTTATATCTGTAATAACGCATGTGTGTGTTGAACAAAATTTCTCCTCGTGCGAAAGTGTGCGAATCGTAATCATACAGCCGATGAAGCTGTTAAATTACTGTAATACAATGTATAGACTTGTACGTCCGGTTCACATTTTCCTTCATTATCATTCGGAATGTAAGAGTCTAATAGGCAATATAACCAAAGGCAATTTCCCTATACGTCGTGTGTTATCTCGTATTTTTCCTTAAACAAACTGAAAGTGAAGTGCGTTAGTAAACGTATGATGTGCAAAGCAACTAGATGAAGGGAAGTCATAGAACTCCTGAAACATCTACGTTAATGGGTTTTTCTATACCTTCTCCGGCATTCAAAACTATGAAAGAAAAGAGTTAAAATTACTTTCAAAACCTAGAAAAAAAAAAGGAATGATAATGGTCTTCTAATATTTCAGCTGACATTAAAATCGGTATTTCTTTGTACACTCAATTTAATGAAGTTAAACAAAGACCTGTGTAGCAAAGAACACGGTGAATTGGGAATATTAGTTGATTAATTAAGTTATATAAAGTCTTCTGTGGCTTTGTATACTGTTTTTGTGGCTTAGAACTATTAATTTAAATATTAAATTACGTAAAGACTTGTGTACCAAGGAACACAGTGGTTTTCTATACTGTTTTTCTAATGTGAAAACATTAATTAAAGACACAGTGGATTTGTATACTGTTTTTGTGGCTTAGAACTGTTAATTTAAATATTAAATTACGTAAAGACTTGTGTACCAAGGAACACAGTGGTTTTCTATACTGTTTTTCTAGTTTGGAAACATTAATTAAAGACACAGTGAATTTGTATACTGTTTTTGTGGCTTAGAACTATTAATATAAATATTAAATTACGTAAAGACTTGTTTACCAAGGAACGCAGTGGTTTTCTATACTGTTTTTCTAATTTGAAAACATTAATTACAGACACAGTGAATTTGTATACTGTTTTTGTGGCTTAGAACTATTAATATAAATACTAAATTACGTAAAGACTTGTGTACCAAGGAACACAGTGGTTTTCTATACTG